CCTTTGGGTGACATCGTTGTGGCACTGGAGGCGGCCCAGGATGGACATGTCATCCAAGAAGTGAGGGAGGGTTGAAGTGATTCGTGAATGGGAGGTGCTCCACAAAGTGGTCTCCAAGTCTCCGCTTGGTCTCCCTGATGTAGAGGAGGCCACATCAGGAACAGCTCAGGTGAAGAATTTTTTTTTTTTTTTTAAATTTGTGGGATGTGAGCATCATTGGCCAAGGTTGGATACAATGCTGTTTCAGCCAGAGAGATGAGCCAATGAGCGGTGGAGACTTTCACAGAAACCTAGCCACCGAGAAAGCTTTGGGTCATCCTAAACCTGATAGTGAAGGAGCGCGGAGATTACGGCCAGAGATCCGATAGTCACAGTCACAGGAAAGGGAAGCTCGAATGGTGAAATTCAACTGAAACAACTCAAATTGTAAGACAGACATCGACATACCTTTCCCAACCAGGGCACGAGACAACCAGAGTGGAAGAAATGTTCACATGGCATTTTCTTCACCTTCTCCTCTTCCTCAAACTCCAGTAAGCAGACCGGACACTTAACGCCTTTGTCTGAATGGAAAACATAACAGTCCTCATTCTAACAAGGCGCAGAATAATTCTGTGCTTTGACCCACAGCCCAATGACAGTCCCATACCACTTGATTCACCCAAATACAGAAAGTTCTGGAAAGAGTCAGCAGATCAGGTGGCATCTGATAAATGGCAGAGCAGGCTCGAAGGGCCGAATGACCTCCCTCCTGTTCCTTTCTTCAGCATTTCTATGAATTTTTTTTGAGATTCATTCACGGAAAATCTAACCCAGTTTTTATTTCCCATGTGTCTTTGAAACGGTGGTGGTGAGCTACCTTCTTGAACTGCTGCAGTTTGTGCGCTGTAGGGGCACAGTGCAGAGGTTCCAGGTTATGTTTGTGCGAGGGATCAAGAAATTCAGAGAGGAATTCTTTTCCCTGCATTGAGCTGGAACACACTGTCTGTGAGGAAGGAAGTGGAGAAGATTCATCAAAAGGAAATTAGACAGACACTTGAGGGAAATAAGCATGCAGGGCCACAGAGAGAGTGCAGGGGGAACAGAATGATTGGATTAATGTTACGGAGATGCAGCATGGACTTAAAGGGCTGAACAGCCTCAATTTGGGGCCATAAAGTCAGTATGGCACACGGCTAAGGATTAAAACTCGAACCTGCTGATCTACATTGCACATGACACCAATTACTTGGCACCAACAGCCCTCAGCAACTCAACAATTCTGAACTGTGGACTCTGCTAATTACAGCGAACACCAACCCTGCCCCTGAAAGTTTTACCTGCTTGTGCAGGGGTCACGGGAACTGTCGGGAGATTCTGCACAATCTCCTTTTTAGCAGCGGGCGGCAATCGGTGATCCCAGTCAGAGAAATCCACTTGCCCGAGGTCGAGATCGATCCCTGCCAGCAGAGACCTGCAAAGAACACATGTCTGTTAATGCGAAGTACATTTAATTAATTCTTTTAATCTTCACTGTATGATAAAGGAGAAAACAGACCATTCAGACCCTGGGGCCTACTCTACCATTCATTAACATGACTGACCTATTTGCTTCAAACTCCACATTCCAATTTAACTTCCTCAATAATCCTTGAATCCCCTAACAAAAACCTATCCACCTCTGATTCTTTTTGTTAAGAGAAACAATGACCCCAGCCTCCCAAGGCAGTCTTCCAAAATCTCACAACTCAGCAAAAAATCTCTCCTCCTCTGTCTTGAAATGACTCCTAATTTTAAACCTTGCCCCCAAGACCAACTAACACAAGGAAACATTTACCACATCAAGACTATTCCAGATATGATAAGATGTTCATCAAGCCACCCCCTCACTCTTGCAAAATCCAGTGGAAACAAGTCCAGCCTGTCCATCTTTTCCTCAAAAGGCAACCCAGTCATTTCAGGTATCCATGCAGTCAACCTTCTTATTATCGCACAGACAGAAGGCGAAGCAACAAATCAATATCAGCGCCCATTACAAAAACCATTATTCGAGTCTCGGTCAATCTTGTTAAAGCTGAACTGAACTTTGAGGCAAAAGATTCTTCATAAATCTCACACACGTCGTAACTGGACTTTTGCACCCCGCCCCCCAGTTCCCCAAGTCTAATACTTTGGACCCAATACCACCTCAGCCCTGAAGGCAAACTCGTCCTGGTACGCTGAACATCTACGTCCTGCCGGCACATAAGACCCTGAGTTTCCTGTTACCTGCCACTTTAACTCAGCTACCTGTACCCTGGTCAACATCTCTGTCTCTGGCTTGCTGCAGTGTTCCAGTGAAGCTCAGCACAAGCTTGAAGAACAGCATTTCATTTTCCATCTCACTGGTGTGCAGTGCGTTCCTGGGAATCTTACCCACTAATACAGATCAGCCTTTGTGGTGATGTGAAAATGAAGATACGACTGAACAGAGATGTGGTTTAGGAGCTGACCCCCAATTTGCACTCTTATGGAAGGAATCTATCAGGTGCTGCGAAAGATGAGCAATGCTTGGAGCATCACGAATTTATGTTCACAGGCAAATTAAAACCAGGTAACTTTGTATCATAGTTACAGGCCATTGACTCCCCCTTCCC